CATGCACACCCGCCACTACACACACTGCTGCACAGCTCAACAGGTCTTTGCCATGTCAAATTTCTATCATTTGGTTCATGTAAAGTGCTCTTACCAATCCATATAATCACAAAGGACAGATAGGAAAGAACCACTTGCCACAGCCTTAGACAGGCACAGCTGCTTCCAGACAAGTGTCTGGCCAATATGCCCCATCTCCCTCTGGCAAGCCAGCTGGACTTAGCAAACTCCTCTTCCCTGTACTCACACATGCACGTGTGAGAGAAGAGGAAGGGATGTTGTTGCCAAAAGTAAGTGACCTCAGTTGACTTCTGGCTGTCACCTCTTTGCAATCCACAGGATCTCTCGGCTGCCAACCTGCAAGCTAGATGACATTGACTCCCTTTAATTACTGACTGTGGGGAGATGATATTGCTCACCTGGCTCCAGGTCTCTCCAACAGAGAGCAGAAAATGCATAGTCTGCTGTCAGGCTCCCAGGAAGCTCGACCAAGAAGTCTGGGCATTTTGCTGTCCTCCCATCTAGGCCTGCCAGCAACCACCTGGCTCTGCCACAGTTTCAGAGTTGCTTTAACAGAGAATTATGCAACAACCTCCCCTCCACATCCTACCCCCATTCCCTGACTATTTCCAGTCTTCTCTCTATTGCAGCTCTCTTAGAATTGGCACCGATAGTCAGAACTGGCACCCACCTGCCTTCCACCAACAAATCCCCTTTCTTACTGCCAGGCCAACCATCAATTATATTGGCTCATTGGTGCAACCTTCTCCCTTTCCCAGGGAGGAAAGGGCTTCTTGGCACACTGACCCTGCCAAATGGGACACAGAGGGGGAATGGGGAGCTGCCAGATAAGGATGGAAATAGCTGCAAACCAGTGATCACAGCCAGAAGTCACTGTGCGAGAGAGAAGCACCAGTAAGATCTCACCTGGAGTGCTGTGCCCTACACTTCAAGGTTGTGGACAGATTTGAAAGAGTCCAACAGAGAGTGACAAAAATGATTAGAGGCCCGAGATGCCAGACTTATGAGAAAAAGCTGAAAGTACTAGGATCATTTAGTCTGGGGAGGAGAAAGGGGGAGGGGGGGAGGACGGGATTTGTTAACAGTCTTCAAATACCTGAAGGGTGATTATAAAAAGGACGGAGATAAGACTTTTCTCTGTGGATATAGGGGCAGGACTAGGAGCAATGATGGCCTCAAGCTGAAACAATAAATTTAGGTTGGGAATTAGGGGGCTTTCTGACTCTGATGGTGGTTAAATACTGGGACAGAGAAATTCTACCTAGAGAAACTGTGGAATCACCATCCCTGGGCAATTTCAAGAACAGGTTAGACACACACTTGGCTGGGGTGATTTAGTTAGGGATGTTTCTCCCTTGAGTAGGGCACTGGACTGGACGACCTTGTTAGGTGCCTTCCACCCCTACTTCCCTAGGGAGAGTCCTTGAGAGCGGCCTTATGTCCAATGGAAATGCCCTGTCCCTTTAAGCCCAGTCTCTCCAGCATTCCTCAGCCAGAAATGAAGAATCCCCCTCAGATCCACCTCCCACATGCTGAACCAAGGAATGCGAAGTGCATCTTAAGCACCACAGCTCTTTGGCAAGCCAGCCTAAGTTATCCAGCGAGGTGTCCTGAATCTCAGGTTCCCCCCAGTTAGAGCCCTGGCTCACTTTTGCTCCTTCCCCTCCCCTGTTAATCAAACTGTTTCAATTGCCTGTCTCTGAGGCTGTGTCCTACCTTGGTGGGAGAGACGAGAGCAATGAAGAAAAGGGGCATGATGCTGCAGTTAGTGGCACAGCCCTGCCTGCCATGGTATCATCAAGCAGAACTTGAAAGTGGAGGGCAACCCTGAAGCTCAAGCCCTACTTACACTGCTTTTTGGGAGGCTGCTTGCAGCACACATGTGTGCACCCCTGTTAGCTTTAACCCAACTGGCACAGGTGACAACAGCAAGGAAGACATGCACGCCACCCAGGGCTATATAAACGCGCCAGGGACCCTGGGTATGTACTTACATTCCTAGTCTGCCCTGGAGTCCATGCTGCTGCTTCTTCCCTGCTATTTATTACTTAGGCTAGTGAGGCTAAAGCTGGGGCAGGTAGGCAGTCACATACTGCAATCACACTTCCCAGTGCTGCGTAGAGGCACCCACAGAGAAAGAAGTTGTAGGTTGGATGAGAGGAAGAGGGGAGCCTCTTCCCTGCTGCCTTGTGCCAGTTCTAGGAGGTGCCAGCCAGCAGGGTGGGAGATACAAAGCTCTCCAGCAGCCTAGGACAAGCAGCGCATCCCTTGTCAGCGCGGCACACATCTGAAGATTGCAGGTAAGAGTGCAGAGCTTTTCAGAGGAGCCATCTCTGGTGGGACCCTGCAGTGCGCTGAACCTCCTGGTCCTAGGGTGGAGAGGGCAAAGGCCAGAGAGGAACATGCCATGAGCAGGCTCCAGCCTCCAATCTCCACCTCCCAGGGAGTGAAGGAGTGAGGGAAGGAGGCTGCAGGCCTCCCCCTCTTCCTACAATAGGCCAAGTTCTCCCTCCCTTAGCAGCTGTGACAATTACCTTGCAGTGGGTAAGGAGAGGGACCTGAGTTTGTAGGAGAAAACGGAGACAGAGCAGTGCCTCCAGCAGTGTTAACACAGACTGTTGAGGGAGGGAAATTCTCCAGCTCCCCTGATATACAGCTGTATATTCCCTCCTCCAGCTGGGCTTGCAAAGGCAGTCCGAGCTGAGTGCAAGGCCTGTATATGACTGCTAACCTCTCCTTCAACGCATTGGGAAGAATGTTCTTCCTTTGACTTTCAAGGGATTTTTCTTGTTAGGGAAATGTGCCATTTTCCCCTCCAGTATCTCCAACCAACCATCAGCACTGGCACACCACCCATATTTCCCTTCAATCTGGATAGGCAATAGCATGTGCCAGACTTGACAGTGGATCCCAGCTGAGCAAGGGAAGCCAATCTGTCTAGGGAGAGAACAGCCCTGAGCACAACAATCAATGGGAAGCTGTAGCAGAGTCCCCCAGGGAAGAGGGGGCTGCATCACTGGCTGGAGCATTTAAAACTTTTATTGCATAGAGCACAGCGGGCATTTTTACACATGTAAGTGCTGCAGCACCGGGTGCTTTGAAAAGCGTCCAGTACTGCAACGCTTGCAGTTGTATAAGCAGCAAAACGCTGAGAAAATGGTGGTGGCATGCTTTTGAACTAAAACATATTGGAAGTGCTGTAGTTCAAAAGCGCACTGCCGCCATTTTCTGCATGCTGATGCACATTTCGCCGCTTATACAACTGCACGCAGCACAGCACAGTTTGCATCAGCTTGCGTGTGGAGCAGACTCAATTAATCGAGTCTGCTGCGAAGTGGTGGATCTCCAGCACGTCATGGGACAAAAAAGTATGTGTATAAGTGCCCTAAAAAATCTAGTGCAGGGAACATCCTGGGCTGAGAGGGATGTGATGCAACAGGCCTCTCTTGTTGCTAATTTCTGTGGTCCCTGCTTTGTGGAAGGCCCTTTTCTCCCCTGCCCTGTCTTTTCAGCCCTCTCCTATCCCTTTGCCTTTCCGAATCAGAAGCTGGGTCTGGTTTCTACGTGGGATGGAACCCAAGCCTGTTCGCCAGACCTGGAGGGCTGGAGCCGAAGGGGAAGTCTCCAGCTGTCAGCCATGTGCTCTGACAATTGCCTCCTGATGTTGGCATTCATTCCTGCCCGTCCCTGTTCCCTCTCACGCCGTCAGCCCAGGGTGATTTACCGACTGCTGACAGGCCAGCTCAGAAAGATGTGTTGTGAAAAGGTTTGTACATTCAGGCAGGGAGCAGAAGTCCATGCAGGGATTGGGAGGGGGATTCTCTGTGCAGGGGAAGGGCTTTGAGTGGCACTACCTGACTATGTGAGACAAGGCCAACAATCCTCTATAGGCAGGGGAGAGAGCCTGCCAAAGTAGACACAATCCTCACCAGCTCCTTGCTTCTTCAATTCTTCAGCCTGGCACATGTTTCTCTCCTTATTTACACACAGACAATGGTATTCTTACCCATCCAGGACATGGGAAGGGAGGAGGGGACAGGTGAGCAGCCATCTACCCGTTGCATAGAGAGAAGTGAGGAGTGGGGTCAGCATCCCACCATGGTCCATCAGTGCACCTCCGGGAAGTCATAGCAAGCAGCAGCCTGTTTATAGCCCACATGCACAGGCTGTTCAGAACTGGAAGTCCACCTGGGACAAGGGGTGCAGACAGAAAGAGGTACCCGGATGAACATGCTGAGCCTGGCTACAGTAACTTTGTGGCGGCTACGCATGAGCTGCAAAACCACCCTAACAACCTTCTGGGAAAAGGGTCCCCCAATAGGTGTACAGACATCCCAGCTCCTTCCACACTCAGCCCTGCAGCAATCTGGGTGGCACATCCTGGCAAAGAAGGGCATAGTTTTACACTATAGCCTTCAAGTAGTCTCCGTCAGGGGGCAAATCAGCATCCTCTATTCTCCATCACCAGGCTCAAGTACAGAGATGCCTGGACCCCCATGGCAAGTCCCTAGAGCCAGGGCCCATAAGGAGCAAATTTGTTTTGCAAACCCAAAGCTGGGGTGGTTTGGGGAAGCCCACAGGGTGTCTCCTGGCTCTCAGCTGTGCTAATTTTTTCTAATTAACCGTTGACAGTTGTGGCTTTATTTTTCACAGCACAGTAAAACTCAGCCCATTGTGAGAGGAAAGTGGAATTAGCTGATGTTTGGGCAACGCAGACAGGAGAGGCATCTAATCAGCCCTTTCTGAGGGACAAGCATCTCCAGATGGAGCTGCTGTGAGACACAGCAAATCAAGAGGAATTAATACTCAGCAGTTTGTGGTGGAAGAAAAAAAAAAAGGATGGGGAAAAAAACCCAACCCAAACACAGCTGCTCTGTATTAAATGCTCTCCACCCCGTCCAGGGGCTCTGGGAGGAGCAGGCCTGTCAGCTGCTTTAAAAGACATTATCCTCACAGTTTCTTCATGATGTTTACAAGGAGACACTGCTGCTGCTTGTTTGATTGCTTGTCACTGCCAATGCAGAGAGGTTCTTGCTGAGTTCATCCACTGCGGGGCTTCATGCAGCTCCTCAATCTGGATGGAGTTGGACTCTGCCTGACCTGGAGTCAGGAAAGACTCCTTACTGCTCCCTCCTGGAGGTAAGTGGGACTCTGGCTTATCACCTCAGCCCCAGGTAAACTTCAGAAGGGGTTAAAGTGTCTTGCCCCTGAGCCCAGGACTGACACTAGCTCATCTCTCTCCTTCTCCAGGTTCTTGCCAAGTCACTTCTTTAACTGCTCTAAGATCTCTCCTTCCCTGGTCTTCCTCCAGGTTGCAAGCCTGGTCTATGCCCTCCTCATCCCTGATGCCAAGAGCTGCCCCATCTGCCTCCCTGCACCTCAGTTCTGCTCACGCCACCTGCAACTTAGTGGCCATGCCCTCCCACCGCTCCAGTTGGGCATGCTTTCACCAGCTTCCTTCCTCTCCAAATTCTTCCCTCTTCCAAGATAATCTTCCTTCTATTTTCATATGCCTGCATTTAACATACCCACCATTAAACCACAGGGTGCTTGGAGTTGGGATGAGTTCTATACAGTACTACCATATGGCACATGGGCAACATCCTGCTGGAGGTATGCAGTCACCACTACCAGTCCATAACTCCTTTCCCAGGCCACTAGCTGCCTGTGCCAATCCTTGGGAGTCAGTGGCCAAGATGATCTGAGATGCCATCCTGTTCTAGGAATCTGTGATTCTCTCGTGTTCCTCCCCAAACACAAGTGAACACCATGAATAGGTGAAGAAAGAGGAGGTAAGGGACCCCAATGAATGGTGCTTTTGTAGACGTACAGTGCAATTTGGGGCCAGAGGATACTATAGATCCTGCTCCTATGGCTATGCAGGGCCTGGATCTATTTAAAACCCTTTCTGGAACAGTGTGAGAACATAGTCTATGGCTAGCTAAATAGAGGCTAGTACTTTAAATATCTCAATGGGATTGCATGGGATACACATCGAGACAGATTCTTGACTCCCTAAGGTACCATGCAAACATAATCTAAATGAAGCCTTTTGAAGCCACCATGATATAGCTATTAATATGAACTATTGTTAGCTCCACTGACAGGTAGGGAAACCAAGGTACTGAGCTGCAACACCTTGCCCTGAACCCCCGAGGGAGCTGGCGTTATAATTCAGGGACCTGCGTTCACGTCACACCTCCTTCTAGTTTTGTTGCTTCCCCAGAAGGAAGAACTTTTCTGCTGGTCATGTCCAATTTCTGGCTTTTTCCATAAGTACTGGGGGAGACCTTGCCAGAGAACATAACAAAGATCCACTCTGTTGACAGACTGCATGGTGGCCACTTGGTGTGCCAGGGGAGATACTGGATATTGTTCATTGTCAAAATAAAAGTTAGTTTTTCCTTGAGAATGATTAAAAACAAACCCCAATATGTCTTGCCCTTGACCAACCCAACAGTTGCGTGGAAATCTGCAAGTTATGTCACCTGTTGGCAGAGCAGGGGATGTTCCAGCTTGGTGTCGCAGCCTGGTACCATCGGCCACCATGCTGATGTCCCAGTGTATTCAAAAAGCACGAGTTGTGAGTCATGCATTGTGACTCTCAAAGGCTCCGAGGGAGTTTAGGCTGCCACGCTGGCTGGGAATTTTGTCCACTGGCCAGCGAGATGTGCTGCCAAAAGGCTAAAACAAGGGGCTCCTAACATGATATCCCCATAAGCTCGTGGTACGCCCCCACAGCCCTGGGACATTGAAATAAGGAGAGGGAGGAACTAGGGGCTCCAGTCACTTGTTTTCCTATTTTAACGAAAAAAAATAGTTTCTTGATCATAAGAGAAATCAAAGGAAGAGGTGGGAGACATGAAGCTGACAGGCAAATCTGGGAAGTGGGCTTGTCAGAGAAGCTTGTCCTTTGCATCTAAGCATGGTTCAAAGCTTAACGAGAATGCAGCTCATTACCTGCCAGGGTATGGTAAGTGGGACTGGGGGCTTTCTTCTCCCTAAGAGAGCTTTGAAAATACCTGCTGCATGATGTCACCCAACCCTTTGCGATGCTCTTCATAAGGACTGTTGTAATCCCCAAGGGGAAGCTGCCGGTGGCAGGCAGAGGTTAGGAGCAATCAGGGGTGATGACTCCATCAAAAGGAAAAGAAATTATCATCTCAACTCTCCCTCCATTTGGTGGAAGAATTTTAGTGAGAAAATCCCAGAGAGCCTCTCTAGGATATGGCTCCAGCAGGTAGTGCATTTGAGGTGTTTGAGTTTCTTGTAGGGGAAATGATCAGCAGGCTACTGGCAATTCCTGATGCCCATCTTCATGGTGGGAGAGGCTGAGGTTGTGGGAGCAGAAAAAGCCCAGCTTCTTTCTGGAAGCTCTGCATTGGAAATCCAAGGAAAAGAGGCCTCACATTCCCAGAGAAGAGTTTTAGAGTCCACACCAGGTTGAAGATAATTGCAATGGGTCCATAACTGCAATGAACAGAATGGGTCCTGGACTAGTGTCAAACACTGTCAGGTCAGGTCCCCAAGAAAGCCTAATGGAAATCATTGCATAGCACCTAAGGAAGGTTTCATCAGCATCTTCCACACTATTATTGGACCAACTGTATAGCTGGGAGAGTTGTTAGACAAGCTTTTGGGCATAAAGTGCCTTTCTTCAGGATTGGTGAGAAAAAGATATCCCCGAAAATAGCTTGCTTCTCACACATTTCCTAGATCTTTATGGCTACATCAGCACTCCTACATCAGCACTATACTAATATCAGTTCAGGATCCAGGTGCCCCAGGGAAAGTGAATAACTACTTTGTTGTTACTTAAAGTCTACAGGAAATCCCTGTTAGCCCAGAGATGGGAGAGTGGGGGGTTAATGTGAAAGAGGAAGTTCAAATATTCATCTTTATGAGAAAAGCAAGAAAAAAAATGTCATCTTCCAGCCCTGAAAAAGTTACCACATTGATTTCTACTTCATAAAAATGAGGTTAAGTTGAATGCATTAAGCTGGCAAACTGGATAATTGCATGTCCTGAAACTGTCTTCGAAACAGCTCTTTTCAGAGGCACTCAGAAAATAACTTCATCAATAAGGCTCTTGCCCATTAAAAACTTTGCACTTCTCTGCACCTGGGTCAGGAGTAAAGCCTGTGCTTCCTTGGCGATGATTTTTTCCCCCCTTTTAACCTAAGAAAATGGGCAAAATCAAACTCTCTTCATTGTATTTGCATATTGTTGCTGAGACAGAAATAGTGGGTAGAAACAAATTGTTTCAGAGCTGCCACCTTCCAGCTCCACTCCTGGCACTGAATAGTATTACCCACCAGCACCCACCCAGGATGGGCTGCAAAGAAAACTCCCTGCATGGCTATTTGAGGACTCCCAGAAGAGAAGTGGTAGTTGCTTAGGCAAAAGATGGACCTGTCTGGCTTAGGTGCACTGTGAGAAAACAGCAGTCATGACATTTGTTTTTGCTTTTAAACCACCCACGCAGATCATAGACTTATAGAGTAGGGCTGGAAGGGGTCCTGAGAGGTCATCTAGTCCAGTGGTTCTCAACATTTTTGGACTCGAGGCCCCCCTCACTCCCAACCCACAACCCCCTGGCCCTGCTATTTCCAATCCACAACTCCCCACCCCTCCAAGCCTGCTGGTGCCCCGTACTCCTGACCTGCTGCCCCCAGGCTCCAGCCTCCCAGAGTGTGGGGCAGAGGGTGGGTATGTAAGGAAAGAGGGGGGCAGGGGAGATGCATGTCCCCCCCAGATTTGTGTGCCCACAGTGGGCATGGGGCTGCAGCTTGGCTGGATCTGCTCCTCCCAGCCCCAAGCATTTTTAAAATTTTCTCGCAACCCTTTCATATATTTTTGTGATCCACTTTTGAGTCACGACCCATGGGTTGAAAACTTCTGCTCTAGTCCAACCCTGTGCCTGAGGCAGGATCATCCTTTTCCAAACCACCCCATGCAAATCCATTAGCAACCTCTTAGCAAAACTACACAGTCAGTTCTGACAATCACAAGACATAACACCCTAATATGCCACAGGTAAAGCAGGGAGACTACAGCAGCCAACAACCTGCTGCTGCAACAATTGTTAAAATATGCTCAAAGCATCCCAGGAAGAAAGCCTCCCCCCCACCCCCAAGGCAGAGGAAGACAAACCCTCCCACAGTCCATACCAATCTGACCGTGGGGTAAAATTCCTTCTTGACCCCAAATATGGCAATCGGCCTGACCCTGAGCAGACGGGCAAGACCAGGGGTGGGCAAAGTCTGGCCCATGAGCCAGATCGGGCCCATGGTGGACTCCATTTCCCAGCAGCCTCTGCTCACATCACTGCGGACAATTTCCACAGAGATCCCACCAGTGGCGGGGTTGTGACAGTACGGGGAGCGTGCGGCTGGGCGGGTGGTGGTGACAGCATGGTTCAGAGCCAAGGCAGAACCGCAATCTGCTGCCCGCATGCCCCGGGCAGGGGTGTGCATACAGTGGATCACAGGTGTCCACGCATGTGTGGGGGCTGCCTGCACACTGCACTAGGTCCCAGGAGCCAGCCAGGGGTTGGGGTGGGGGGAAGAGGGCATGTGCAACAGAACTCGCCCAGATGAGGTGGTGCAGGTGCAGTCTGTCCCCCTGATCCAGCCCGCAGCTGTCCCTGCAGTGCTCTGCATGGGGCCAAGCCCTGCCTGCTCCTGCCCAGGCCTCCCACGTCATGCTGCTGCCCGCGCAGAGGCTCCTGCCCCAGGGCATGGGGCTCCAGCTCCTTCTACCCACTCAGCCACCCACAGATGGCTGCTCATCGTACCAGGCGGATGGAAGGCAGCTGGCAGATGAAGCTAGAGCCCCATGCACTAGGGCAGGAACCACCCATCTGTAGCTTCTTCCCAACCTGGCTGGGCATGTGGTGCCTGGCACATGCCCCCACGGCTGCTGCCGCTTCTGCATGCTACCTGCTTCCCGGAGTACCATGGCGGCAGCCAGAGGAGGTGGAGTCGCTGGAAGCAGAGAGAGCTGACCTGTACCTCGGCGGCTTCTGCAGCAGTGGCAGCAGCCCCCCTGGGAAGCTGCGCATGCTGGCTAGGGCCAGGGTGGGGGCCAGAGCCAAAGCAGTGCTGTTGGTGGGCATGGGGTGGGAGCGTGGCATGGGCTGCCCTGGGCAGGAGCAGGTGGGGCTCAGATCCATGTGGAGCACCGCAGGGGCAGCTAAGGGCTGGATACAATCGCTTGGTGGGGCGTATCTGGTCCATGGGTCATATTTTGCCTACCCCCTTGCAAGGGCAACAGCAAAACTGTTACTTTTTTACTATTAACAGTTCTTTATATTAATTCCTGTAAATAATAATGTGCTGTTTCCACACCACAGGCCACATCAAGATACTACAGACTGCATGCAACAGTTCACTGGGCCTGAGCCAGCTCAATTACTCCTGCAGGCACAAGCTACAGCACTCAGCCACTTGTCATTGCAGATTCCTCAGTAGCTGTGAGAGGGTTAACACCAGACACCACCATTTCCACTTGCTGGGCTAGAGAGAAGTGCAGCCATTTTGGCAGCCATTAGAGCACAGTGTGTCTATGCTTCTATTCTTCCATGCTTCTCTTCCAGCAAAGAAAAATCAACTTCCCCACTTAAAATACACCCCCCAATTTTGGAAGGCTGATTTTAGGGGAAAGGGCACATGTGATATGCCAGTTAATATCCACCTGAACTTTCCCTTTCCATTTTTGATCTCACTAGTTTCTCTCTGTTATTTATAGGGTGATCTGCTACCCCTTAAGTGCTGCCTTGAGCAAGAGGCTCACCAGACCCTCCACCTACTAGAGATTTACGGTACCTGATCTGGAATGCAAGATACAATACTCTGCAAAGGGATGCCCCAGCCATGTCAGGAAGCAATGTGATGCTCATGCTATGGAACACCTCAGTGTGATAAGAGCACCGTGGCCTGTCTTCATTGCCACCAATGGTCATTCCATCAAGAGTATCCGGCAGTTATAATAGCAAGAATTTGCAGCTAGGTCACCTGGCTCTTCCATACTTGCATTCCATGGCTAACAAAATGACTGCTTGCAATGTAAAGTTCCCCTGGGCCAGACTCCAGCCTGCTTTCATCTAAGACCCTGTGTTATTGTGACATGGAAGCATGCAGCAAAAAGAAAGTCTATCAAAAAAACTCCGTCCAAAAATAACCAGCTGCAAAAAATAGGTGGCTGAGGAGATATGGACTTCAAGCTGTGAGCAGCTGGTGCTGGCAGGAAAATATACAGATCAGAGTTCTCCAAGGGGAGAGAGTCCTTATCACTCTGCCCAGAGGCACCCAGAGAAGTGACTGTGTATGAGGAGGAGGGCAGAAGAGAGTTCTTGGGAAAGGCACAGTGAAAAGCTAGAACAGCATCTAGATATCACAGTGATTAGACATTGGATAGATTTATCATCCTGTCTCTTTTAAAAACCCTGCAAATTCTGGGCTGATGAAAGGTGCCAGACTGCTAGCCCTTATGGCTGTGTTCACACAAGACAGACTTCCTTACTTTCTCCCAACCAAAGTGCTTGGAGACCACCCTCTAGGTCTTAAAAAGAGTTCAGACTCCATAGCTGCCACTAAAAGCAACTCGGGTATTGCTTAATGTCAGCTTTCACCATAATTTTGTAATGCAGCCCCCTGCCTATTAAGGACTGATCAGGAATAGATAACTGAACAGCTATAGGACAGCAAATGACTTCCACTGGGCATGTCTACACATTGCCTTGTGGTGATGTAGTGATGTGCTACGTGGCTGTACAGCATGCTGCGGTGACATAGTGATCACACTCCCTGCTTATAGCACGCTGATACGGCGATGTAGCATGGAAACCAAAGTGTGCACCGCCTGCAAGGCACAGTACAGGAGTGTACCAAAAAGAAGTACTAAAGCATGGTGCTGTAGCAGTGGTGTTGAACGACAACATGTAGACGCACCCACTCATGACCAAACTAGGTCTGAACTAGTGACCTAGAGATAAATGGCTCTGTGCCCAATTCCCAGGCCCTTAAGTCACCCATTTCCCTTATCATCCCAGCACATTGACAAGAGATACATTAAACATTGCCAGAAGGTGATTGTAAAAAACTGATTTTTGTCTTTTTATCCCAATCTCCATCATTTGTAGCTATGCAGCTTTTCAAATATTTGCTTTGCTCTTTAGAATTCATTATAACCCCACCCCACCCCCAACACGCTTTTTTTTTTTTTTAAACAATATTATCTTTGAAACTGTATATTTTCATTGCCCAGGTGGAAAAGCTTAATTTGCACTACTCCTGCTGAGGGCAAAATCCACCATCAAACCTCATTAGCTTTATTCCTCTGAAAATGTCTCTGCTTAGGTACAGATGTCGATCACTGCCTGCAACCAAGCAAAGAAGACTGTGATGTGTGATGCAGGAGCGGGAAAGGGTCACTCCTACTCTTTTACCTAGGAGAGTTGCTGCAAAAAGGTCCCGTTTGAATGAGTGAAGCAGCAGCTAAACACATACAGTGCTGACATCCCGAAGACTTTGAAGTCAATGAAAGTTTTACTATTGATTTCAGTGCAAATCGGGACTCTATCTAGAGAGAAATTGATGCCAGGGCTCTTGGTCATTCTGTGCCCTGAGCGCACAAAGTACTAGGACTACAGCACATGTGCCGCAAGCTCCTACAATGTTGTTAAAAACAAAAGCTTCATAAAGTTATTAAAAGAAAATAGGAGGTAGAAAGAGAGACTCTGCCCCTATTCTTCACAGCTGTATCACCACTGAGTCCAGTTTCATTCAGAAATCCCTAAAGATTCTCCCTAAAGTATTGTCCAGTCTAATTTCAAATGATTGTGGCTGGGATTAGATCAGAAGAACCTCAGGGAACTACTGTATTTACTTGAATCCAAGACATTTTATTTTTCTCATTCAGTATGGGGGAAAAAGCTATTAGCCTTGGACTGAGTACAAGGTGGGGTGAGGTGGGGGTGCTGAGGCAGCTGCTGTAGCCCCAGCCCAGACTTGGAGTTAATCACAGCTTTAGCGACTGCCCTGCCACCTATATTTCACAACCCTGAAGTTTGTTGTTTGCTCTTTTCAAACTCAGTGTCCAGTCTTCAGCAGCAGATAGTTTCAGCTGTGAAATAATTAAAACTGTAGTTTTTTCCTGAGGTGGAAAGGGAGGGTGAATGAGCTGAAGATTAGGCTCTGTCCCTGCTCCATGCAGCCATAACTTTGGAAAAAATCTTTTTTTTCCTTCTTTCTGTCTTCCCAAAAATCAAGGTGCATGTCTTACTTGTGGGGTATGGTATGCGAGAAAATACAGTAATCTTGTTTCCTGTGTTTCTCTTTAGCCCCTCAAATGTGGTGCCATCTTCCCGGTCCTGAGATTCCCTACATCAAGTAACAGACCCTAACAATATGTCCTCCAGTCTATAATTTCACCTACTACAGGTACTCAATAAGGTTTGTTAATGTTTTGTAGAAATGCTTTTGTTTGTTTAAGGTTTTTGGTCTAGTTTGGAAGTTGGTTAATTTTTCATTACTGTGAAACCTATTGATGAAAAAAACTTTTTGCTTTATGTTTTCACTGAATAGTTTCTTTCCAAAGTGTTTAGGCTTTCATGAGAAAAAAAATAAAATCTGATAATCCCAAGCATGATTTTTTTCCAGCTTTTAGAGGCTAAAAAATATATATATATATATATATATATATATTCAATAAAAAACAAAACCATTTCTGCTGAAATTTCCATTGTTGTTAAAAATTCATTTTTTGAAAAAAAAAAATTTTTCATTCTCCCCACATTCTTTAAAAATGACTAGCTCTACTGTTTTGGTTCCTCAGGGTGCAATTTGTGTTGTCCAAATACATGCAGTTTCACCAAGGACACAATGGGTTGACCTCAAATGGCCCACAAATCTATATATATGTTACTGAGCACTGGTCCAAGCACTGGAGTGGGTGCTGAGCTCCAGAGCTCAGCAAATTGTTCAGAACAAATGGTTCAGTCACTCAATTCACCTTCGTTCTGGTTTTGAATTCTGTATGAGCAAAGAATCTTTGCTACTTTTAATATTCAAAGTCTGAACCGCACTGGCGGGGTTTGATTGCATGCATAGGTCAGATGGTATCGTCATTTCTAAATGCTATGGGGATGAATTTAGGATAAGGTTTCTGGGGTGCATATTTGCATTTAGTTCAGGGCCGTGCCCTCCATGAAGATGTTCTCGTAAGCAAAATATATACTGCAGTAAGGAGGTGTGAATGCAGCACAGGTAGACATCCCTATGCTAGCCTTAATCTAGGTAGCTCAGGTACCAATAGCAATATGATCACAACAGAACAGCTTTCAACACAACTGGACAAGACTTCTTGAGTATAGACTTGTGCTGCTAGCTTGCATGGAGCCCTGCTCTGCCCCAGTGTCACTCCTACTGCTACCAGAGCTAGCTAGATTAAAAACTATTGTGATTGCAGCTCAGGCTGGCCTCACATTGAAGGGTAGACATAACTAGTCAGTTAAAACTGGCCTTCCTCACAGTCTGAGAATTAATTTGCTGAAATATTCACAGGAAATGGGTGCAAATGGAGCACAGGCCCAACAAATAATTGTACAGCTGAATGCATGCAAAATATTTCAGGCCAAAGTCAGGAACATACAGTAACAGACCTTTAAAGAATATGGGGTAATGCCTTCATTAATAAGTACTGTGGTGAAGAATGTAGTAACAAAGCTAAAGCAGCATTTTTTCCCTCTGCAAATATGTAAAGCTGATTTCATTGACTACCACATTCTTACCTGAAAAGAGGTAAAAATGGTCTGAATCCTCATTCATTGCCCTAAATTATTATTTTGGGAAGGGATTATAACAGGAGCTGGTCCCAGGGGTGGCTGCGATGTGATGTTCCCTGGTGGCTGCTCAGCCCCTGCTCTGCCCTCATTTCTCAGGTTCGCTCTCCTTCACCTTCCCTGCCATGCCTTGTTGTCAGATCCTTGGAAAGGGAGGCTGCCACAGGGATCCCTGATCCCATGCTGCTGGTCAGGTGTCACTACACAGTGCCTTTGGGGCTTCTTATGTGGCGCTAACCACCCCTTACACCACACCCAGGCCTCACAGATGTTACCATGCAATCTGTCCTGCTTTTGGGCCTGAGCGTGTCTGGCTCCTGTCTGTTGAGGCCACCACTGCCCCTTGTCTCAGTCCCTAAACCACCAATCACTCCCTCAGCTCTTAGGCTGCCTTCTCTTAACTCTGGGGACTGCAGAGTCTCGCTCTGTCTGCTGCTTGCTCAGGAGCATCTTCCATGTCAGTAGCCAAGGTGAGACTCTGCTCCAGCTCTGGTCCTGGGCTTCTCTGCCCACCCTTTCTGGTCAGGTGCTCCCCTGTTTGTTGACTCAGCTCCTTCCACAACCTTCTCCCTTCTTAAGGCATGCCCAGTGCCTGTCATAGGGATGTAATAGCTACATTTTAGTTCACTGAAATGTAGGTAATAAAGTGATCTCTCATGCTGGGAGGGGGAGATGATCAAAATAAGTAAAGCTTCAAATGCCAAGTTCACGCTTGATTTTTAAAGCCTCTGTCAAATACATTTTTGTTAAATCTAGTATATGTAACCAGAGGGAGAGGACGGATGAATTAATAAAGTTTTGATATTTATTGCCTATTGCAAATGGGTTTTACTACTAGCCTGGAGATTTTTCCCTAGTTAATATGAATTTGTCTGCTTACTGGTTTCTCTTAAGCCTCCTTTACCCTTTCTAAGAGGAACAACTGGTAAAAGGCAGAGGTTAGATTCCTAATATTTTCTGGAACTAAAGTTGGTGAAAAGTACTTATATCATGATTAAGAAGTCATATTAATAGGTGTTTTCCATTGAAAATATTGAGGTTGGAGAGGAAGACCTGGATTGTAGTTCTCCATTATTGCAGAAAGTTGGCTAATACATACACTGGAGGGTAGGGTTAGGATTCAGAGAGACCTCGACAAATAGGAGAAATGAAGAAAAAGAAAACTCATGAAGTTCAATAAGGACAAGTGCAAAATCCTGCACTGAGGATGGAACAATTGCATACACCAGTACAGGCTGGGGGCTGACTGGCTAAGAAGCAGGTCTGCAGAAGAGTACCTGGGGCTTACAGTGGACAATAAGCTGAATATGAGCCAATAGTGCGTCCTTGTTGCAAAGAAGGCTAATGGCATACTGGGCTGCATTAGTAAGAGTGTTGCCAGCAGACCAATGGAGCGATTATTCCCTTCTATTTGGGACTAGTGAGACTACCTGTGGAGTACTACCTCCAGTCTTGGGCCTCCCACTATAGAAAGGATGTGGACAAATTGGAGAGAGTTCAGTGGAGGGCAGTGGAAATGTTGAGGGGGCTAGGGGACATGGCTTATGAGGAGAGGCTGAGGGAACTGGGCTTATTTAGTCTGGAGAAGAGAAGATGGAGTGGGGATTGAATAGCAGCCTTCAACTACCTGAAGTGGGGTCCAAAGAGGATGGAGCTGGACTGTTTTCAGAGGTGGCAGATGACAAAACAAGGAGCAATGGTCTCAAGTTGCAGCAAGGGAAGTTTAGCTTGGATATTAGGAAAAACTTTCTCACTAGGAGGGTGGTAATGCACTGGAACAGGTTACCCAGAGAGGTTGTGGACTCTCTATTCTTGGAGGTTTTTAAGACCAATAGACAAAACCTTGGCTGGGATGATCTAATCAGGAATGGTCCTGTTTTAAGCAGGGTGTTGGACTAGATGACCTCCTGAGGTCCCTTCCAACCCTAATTTTCTGTGAAATTCAGAAGCAATTTTATTCTTTATTCAACCTGACACATGCAGAGTATTTTTGAGGCATTTGCCCTGCTCTTACCTGAGGGTGTATGCATGAATGTGTGCGTGTACATGTGTGTTAGGACCTCTCTGTGCTTAGGCAGTAACCAGGAAAGCTGTGCTTGAACAGCTAAACCCTGCCTCCCACCCTCCAAAGGAAGCTGTCTCAGAATTAGTTGTGAGCAGGTGACTTTCTCCTTGCTGCAGTGATTTCTCCATCTGAAGTCAATGCATAAACTCAGTGCAGGTGAGTCATGATGCTCTCTCACAACATCAGGTTTCAGGCCCAAAACAGAGCTAACCCCCTCTTACCATCCCCTTCACAGGTCCAGTCCCCTCCAACTAGCCCATACCAGTGCATTAACCCTGCCTCTAATTATCCCCTTCACAATCACTCCCTAATTAGCTCTCCCCACACACAATTAACTAGTCTGCACGTACTGTCTGTGTGTACAGAGCACTGGCTGGCTAGAGCGACAGACAGGAGGATGAGTGTGGGGGTGGAGAGCTAGTGAGGGAGGGTGACTGTATGAGTCTCCCTACCCAGCTTGTACACACACGCACACACACTGCACATTGCACACACAGAAAATCCCCTCCTGCAGTGATTAAGTTTCCAATATATCATTGCAAATCTGCACGGCTAGGAGAGCCGAATGTGAACTTCCAGACATAGATCATCTGTAGGTACTTGAGGGAGCGAGAACTGCCTGTGTGACTCCCCAGAGCATAGCAGATCATCTCAGCACAAGGCGGAGAAATTCCCTCATTCCCAGTTCCCTCTCTGCTTTATAGCACACCAACAAAATTTTAAAAAAGAACAAAGCCAAAAATAGGAATCTCCCCATGCCCCTAAATGGGGGAAGTTTTCCTAGCTCTGGCCCACCCCTGAGAAAGAGCTGTCGGGGTCAAGTCCTGTTTGAAAGGAGAAGGTTGTGTTTGCACTGCCGGCTCTGCAATGAATAACAGAGTCTGCATTGCAGTCTTAAATTGCAATACAACACCATCTGTGCCTTCCCCTTGCAGCAGAACATCACTCCGGGGAGCCTGCTCTACAGGGGGCTCCAGAGAGCATCTGGTGGTGTCATGCCCATGGTAACCACACCTGGACTTAATGTCACTGGCAGGAAAGGTGCAGTACAACATGCGTACCCTGATTACAAGACTGAAACTAGGACTAGCAGCCTAATGTGAAACTGGGTGGGAGAGGGAAGACAAGGGGCCTGCCTAACTTTTCACTGAGATTTATTATCTTTTTTAGATAAATACAGTAAAGCAAGCAGACAAAATATTTAACTCCTCTTCAGAAAGAAGAGACTTACTACAGAAAGGAAATTGAGAAGCAGGGAAATCAGCCCATGCTGAGCTTTGTGCTGCTGTAACTAGATTGCTACTAATCCCTGAGCAAACCAGTTGAAAGCTGGGTGCCTCCTTAACACCAGAGTTTTTTTCAGTCCTAATACATCCTAAATCACCAGTGCTGCTTTCTATAGCACCGTGGGGCTCTTTTCCCCACCCCCTTCATATTCACCAAAGGTAAAGGCACTGGAGCGGGACCCTGGAAAGATTTTGTTACCAGGTCTGCCCCTGATTTCGGCTGCTGGCAGTCATTCAT